CTTTATTTTTGGGGGTAAAAATTTTAGAGAATTCGATCACTAAAATTATTCCTTTAAAAAATGTCATTGACAATAAAACCAAAATATTACAAAAAAAAAAAAATAAATAAATAAATAAATAGAGAAAATAATGTCATTGAACTTTTTTCTTTTTCCAAAGTTATCTTATCATTCTTTAAACTGACTACCTTTTGGGCAGGCCAATCATGTGCATAACCACAAAGAATTTTTTCCTCCGCGATGCATATTTTTTGCGGTAGTTTGTGCTAGATTGCCTCAAAACATTCTGAGGCATGAAATTTAAAAAAAAAAAATCCCACAATTTTTTCTCTTTATATCAAAAGCTGCGAGTCAAAACCTTTTATGCAATCTGCGCAATTTCTTTTCTTCCCTAACCATAATTATACGGATCGCTGGCATAGTTCTTGGCTTTTAGCAAAACGTTAATTATATAATCACAACAAACTAAATCTGTAGCGCTAGCCAGCAGCAAGAAAAATGGAATACGAAAAAAAAAACACTTGGGTGAAAAATCAAGCAATTAATAATTAGATGGTAACAAACGAACGCAACGGTGGGATGGACATGAGAGGATGAGAATATTTACTTCCTCATTGCAAGTAAAATATGTAATTATCACAATAGCAACAACAACAGCAAACAACAAAAAAGATGTGCGAATATTTTTTTTGCGGTACTTGAATGCAAGCAAGCATTTGACCATCGCCATTTGTTCCCAACCACCAGCCTCACTCACCACAAAACAAATATTTTTAAAAACCTCAGAAATGAATTAGAAAAACAAAAATAAAAAAAAAAAAGCTTAGCAAAGAATAATGGTTTCCGCCAACAAATTATGCCAAGATTTATGAAGATACTGCAGCTGAGGTCAGCGCTTTGCAATATTCTGACATATACATATTTCAATTTTTTTTCGATTTTTAAAGCTTTTCATTAATGTTATTAAAAACATATCGGTGTTAAAATCGTGTTAAAATTATTTTCCAGGACTTTCGGATTCTATAAAATGTTGTATTATGGTGGATTTTTACAGAATATTTTTGAAGACAATGACAGATAATTACACTGCGTAACAAAATTATTATTATCATTATATTTTTTTTTTTTGAAAATATATTCTCCACAAACTATAAGTTTAAGAAGATGGCGTCAATGATAAACGTAGTATATTCAAAAAGTTGTTTTTTTTTTAATGAAAAAAAAAACTGCAACCAACTTCAGACTGCTGTCATTACAAAGTCACTCGTCCGACAGCTGTTAAAATTATTCCAGTGACAGCTCATTATATTGTTTACAAGCGTACAAAAGCATTTTGGTGAGAATTTTCCAGAAAAAATGTTATGCGTGATGGAATTCAAGCGTGATAGCATGATTTCTTTATATTTGGCTGGAAAACCACAAGGGGCTATCGTTAGAGCACTCTAGCATTTAAATGTGAATAAATATTTTGTGTGTCGTACCATCGCTCGTTACCGTGATACTGGGATGCTGGTAGCGTAGCCCGACGTCAAGGAAGTGGACTGAAAAAACAACAACATCAGCAGAAATGGTTCGAAAAGTAAAGAAGCGACTTGATCGAAACCCACGTCGCATTGGCCGAAAAATGGCTCGTGAGCTGAACATTTCGCAATATTCCCTTCGGCAAATATTGAAAAATGAGCTCGAGGTAAAGCCATTAAAATTTCAAAAAGTGCAACAACTTACACCGCAACTGAAAGAAAATAGACTCAAAAGAGCTAAAGACTTGTTTCGCTTCGCCAAAAGTGGTGAACTGCCGAATTTGGTTTTTTTCCGATGAGAAAACATTCGTTGTCCAGCAGTTTATAAACAAACAAAATTATAGTGTTTACTTGCCAAAGAGGTCAGCTGAAAATGTGCACTTTCCGTTGGCCACCAGAACTCAAGCGCCAGCCAGGGTGATGGTGTGGGCCGCCACAACAGCCGATGGTCGCTCTCCACTCGCATTAATCCACCGTGACATCGGAATAAATGTCGAATATTATCGCAAAAATATTCTGGAGGGTGTATTAAGGCCTTGGGAACGCAAACATTTTGGCCGCAGACCATGGACATTCCTACAGGACTCAGCACCATCGCACTCAGCACACGCCACCCAAGAATGGTTACAAAATGAAGTTCCTCGCTTCATTTCCAGGGCACTATGGCCACCAAAATCTCCGGATACCAATCCGTTGGACTATTGTGTCTGGAGTATTTTGGAAAGCAAGGTTGGCACTAAAAAATACCAAAGTGTCGATCACCTCAAGCAAGCGCTTCGACGGAAATGGGCCAAAATACCGCAGAGCAACATACGGACAGCGTGTGACGGTTTCATTGGCCGTTTGAAGGCTGTAATTCGTGCCAAAGGTGACCAATTCGAACAAATCTAAACATATTCTAAAATTTGATGCTAATTCCGACATTTTTGCCCACATTCAATAATATTTAAAAAAAAAAAAACTAAAAATTATGGCGTTAGACTTTGTTGCAGTTATTTCATCTCAGCCTGAATATACTGGTGACAGAGAATCAACGACCGGAAGAAACGGCTGAAGCTAAAATATTGAAATTTTGCACGAGAGCCAGCCTTGGTGCGTGTGACAAGTCTTGGTTTTTTTTTTTTTTTGGAAGTTCGTACTAAAAGGTTACGAAAACTACTAAAATGTACTAAAAATTGGAAAATTTAGAATAAGAGTCACTAATAAGGTGCAGGATAGATGTACCAACCGATTTTTGGAAATTCGAAATTCAAGGTTGCGAAAAGTACAACAATTGGACTAAACTTCTAAAATGGCACCATTTGGGTAATGGGATAGAGCTGATATCTTGACATTTGGTATGAGAATCAAGGCTGGAAATTATGTTTGATATATGAAGGTGGTTTTAGAAATGTCTATGAAGCCTGCGAACTGTACCACATAGTACTAAAAGTTTGGCTTAGGTTTAACGGATGAAGCTGGAATTTTGAAATGTTGTATTTGGGTCCCTGTTGGTGGTTGGTTTGTGATAAATAGGTGGTTTTGGAGATGGGTACTTCAAGTGCACGAAAAGTACTAAATTGTATTATATTTGGTACAATTTGGTATTGGGTGAACAGATAGTGCTTGAAATCTAGAATTTGATATTAGCGTCGCTGTTCATGTGTAGCCTGGACATATGAAGGTATTTTCGGCAATGTGTCCATATTTGTACGAAAAGTACTGAAAGGGACAATGTTTGTTATTGGGTCAAGGGATTGAGATAAAATTCGGAAATTTTATATTAATGTCACTGTTGGTATCTGATAATGAAATATAGAAATTGTTTTGAAAATGGGCCCTAGATTTGTTCGAAAAGTACTAAATTTAGTATTGGGTGAAGGGGATGCATTTCTCAATTTTGACATTTAGGTCTTTGTTGGTATCTAGAATTGAGATAGAGATGGAGGTTGTTTAGAAAATGTGTACTTCAATTGTACAAAAGGAATTAGTAAAAAGTACCAAATTTGGTATTGAGTGAAGGAATAGAGATAAAATCCTGATATAAAGGTTACTGTTTGTATCCGAGATTAAGATATGGAGATTGTTCCGAATAAGCGTCCTATGTTTGTTTGAAAAATATTAAATGGCAGTAAATATGGTTTTGGGTGAAGGGATAGGAATTAAATTCTGGAATTTGATATTCACTGTTCGTACTTAAAGTTAAGATATGACGACTGCTTTGAAAATGATTAGTGGAATTGTTCGAAAAGTACTAAATGCTACTAAATTATTAGGTGATGGGATAAAGACGGAATCCTGAATTTTGATATGGGTTTCACTGTTGGTGTCTGTGGTTGAGAGAAGCTGGTTTCGGATATGTAGAATATAATTGTATTATAATTGTGCGAAAAGTCCTGAATTTTACTATACTTGGTATTAACAAAAGGGACAGATATGAAATCCTGAAATTTGATATTTGGATTAGAGATGGTATGGATGTGTTTGAGATTGGGAGCTGGTTTGAAAATGCGTCCAATATTTGTACGAAAAGTACTAAATGGTACTAAATTTGGTATTGGGTAAAGGGATAGGGTTGGAATTCTCTGAAATTTGATATTAAGGTCTCTGCGGGTATCTGGAATTGAGATATGGAGCTTGTTTTGGATATGCGTACTATAATTACTAAATTGTACTAATTTTGAATCACTCTTGGTGTTTAGGATGAATTGATGTAGATTGTTGTGGACATGTGTAAAAAATGTTAGTAAATTTTGTAGTCGGCGAAGGGATAGAGTTGAAACTCTGAAATTTAATACTGAGGTCATTGTTCGCTCCTAGGGTTTACATAAGGCTACGTTGGAATAATTTTGGACAGAAAAAATGGATATGGGTCCATTGTGCAATGGTTTTACTAACATTCTCCTCGGTAAACTTGAAGATAAGAGTTTTTGAAGGTTTTTTATATGTTAAAGGTAAATATTATCCTATAATTTTTTTCCGCAAGGAGTTGAATGATATATACAACACACAACTTTGAAAGTCTGAAAATTTAGTACGGTGAATAAAGTTTTTACTAACAATTTTTGTCAAACAAAATCAATTTTGCATTTTGAGTACAGAAAAGGCCTATCAAAAACCGAACATTTATCCGCATGATAAATATAATTCAAATATCTCTGTCAATTTCAAATCTCAATTTAAATCCTTATGAGAAGCAATAACTCTTTAAAAATCAATTTTCTATTTTCTTCACAATTTTTAAAATTGTAATATTTTTGTCTATATTAGAACCTGTGTGAAAATATTGGTCCATTATTTTTGGTACCTCATAGAAATCATATCGTGTAACCAGGTTACAGGTTCGGATTATAACCTAGTCCATGGTAAACTTTATATCTGACTTAGATCAGGAGCTATCATGGTAAATATTGAAATATTGTCGTACCTCCACCATAAGGTAGGATTTTTAAACAATCGTATATGCATATAAATAAATATCAACAATACAAATCTACTTACCAAGAAATATTGTTTTTTTTTCAGTTTCAAAAATTCGCAAAAACTTATTTAAACATTGAAAATGACTTCGTGTGTTGTTTCATTGACCAATCGACCAATTAAATTTACTGCAGTGTCAGTAATTTTTGAAAATAGAGTTCAAGTTTATTGAGAATTTGACGTCTCCATTGGATAAACAACTACAACTCGCCGAATAAACAACAGCTGGTGTATCTGAAAGAAGAAAAAGAAACAAGAAAAAAGTTTATTACTGAATTGTTTATTTCAAACAAATGCCATTTCTTGGTCTAACAATGTTGCAAGTTGTGTTTTCACATTCACCCATAGCGAGTTTCAAAACCAAACCCTGTAATTATTGACGCTCCTTTTGGTTTGGGTTTCATGTTTTTTTTTTCTTTAAGAAAAAAGTAATAATAATAATAGAAATAAAAACTTTGGTCGGTTAGAGGCAATTTAATTTTGTTATTGTCTTCTCACCCCTTGGCAGTTGTGGTTATAACAAAATTGAGTTAGATAAGAAACGAAATCAGATTTTAAAAAATCGAAATTTATATACCCATCATCGAAGGGTTTAATTTAAGATTGTCTAACAGAATGTCAGAATCCGAAAAATGATCAAAGAAATATGCATATTTCTACCACTTTTTATATCCCGACAATATTACTATCGAGGGCCAAGATGAGTCTAATCAAAATAAATGATTTAAGCCCCATGTCTTCTCTGACGAGCCCCATGTCTTCTCTGACCCTATAGAAGAGCCCTCCTAAGGGCTCCTCTATTCTATAGAAGAGCCCTCCTAAGGGCTCCTCTATTCTATAGAAGAGCCCTCCTAAGGGCTCCTCTATTCTATAGAAGAGCCCTCCTAAGGGCTCCTCTATTCTATAGAAGAGCCCTCCTAAGGCCTCCTCTATTCTATAGAAGAGCCTTAAGGGCTCCTCTACTCTATAGAAGACCCTTAAGGGCTCCTCTAATCTATAGAAGAGCCCTAAGGCCTCCTCTATTCGATAGAAGAGCCCTAAGGCCTCCTCTATTCGATAGAAGAGCCCTAAGAGCTCCTCTATTCTATAGAAGAGCCCTAAGGGCTCCTCTATTCTATAGAAGAGCCCTCCTAAGGGCTCCTCTATTCTATAGAAGAGCCCTCCTAAGGGCTCCTCTATTCTATAGAAGAGCCCTCTTAAGGGCTCCTCTATTCTATAGAAGAGCCCTCCTAAGAGCTCCTTTATTCTATAGAAGAGCCCTAAGGGCTCCTCTATTCTATAGAAGAGCCCTAAGGGCTCCTCTATTCTATAGAAGAGCCCTAAGGGCTCCTCTATTCTATAGAAGAGCCCTAAGGGCTCCTCTATTCTATAGAAGAGCCCTAAGGGCTCCTCTATTCTATAGAAGAGCCCTAAGGGCTCCTCTATTCTATAGAAGAGCCCTAAGGGCTCCTCTATTCTATAGAAGAGCCCTAAGGGCTCCTCTATTCTATAGAAGAGCCCTAAGGGCTCCTCTATTCTATAGAAGAGCCCTAAGGGCTCCTCTATTCTATAGAAGAGCCCTAAGGGCTCCTCTATTCTATAGAAGAGCCCTAAGGGCTCCTCTATTCTATAGAAGAGCCCTAAGGGCTCCACTATTCTATGGAAGAGCCCTAAGGGCTCCTCTATTCTATGGAAGAGCCCTAAGGGCTCCTCTATTCTATAGAAGAGCCCTAAGGGCTCCTCTATTCTATAGAAGAGCCCTAAGGGCTCCTCTATTCTATAGAAGAGCCCTAAGGGCTTCTCTATTCTATAGAAGAGCCCTAAGGGCTCCTCTATTCTATAGAAGAGCCCTAAGGGTTCCTCTATTCTATAGAAGAGCCCTAAGGGCTCCTCTAATCTATATAAGAGCCCAAATGATTCTCATTTTGCGTTCTATGGACTTCACGGTTATTTAAAATGTTGACTTTTTTGTGGGGGAGGTACCAGAAGGAGTAAATCGATATATTCCATCTTCACGCCAGACCTTGGGTTAATGAAAATATTGTCTTTAATTTGAAGACAATCGGACTCGTACATCACATTTTATTAGAGTGAAAATTATTTAAAATGTTGACCCTTTGTGGGTCATATTGTCGATATGGTCCATTTTCGCACCTGGCCTAGCACTGATGAAAATATTAGGATTTGAAAAGTTGGAGCAAAATCGGATTATCATTTCTCTTCCTGTGCAGTAAATTATTTTTTTTTTCTGAAAATTTCGACATTTTGTAGGGGAAGGTACCAGATGGAGTGGATGAATGTTACCCATTCCAAAACTCAGAACTCGCCAGATAGACAGACGTAGGGACATACACTAGATTGAATTTAAATGTCCTGAAACGGATTTTGTCCAAAGATACTTAAACTCTAAAGTCGTTATTTCGATGAGGCACGTTGTGGCCGTATCAAATGATTTATACCCTCTATAGCCATATAGGTTCCAGAACTCGATACTCATTTCTTATCAAGCTTAAAATCTTAAATTCAAACAATAGATATCTTTACTTTTCTTCGGAAAAAAATGTGTATGGTCCTAAAGCTTAAGTGTTGATTTGCAAAAATATTTTCCCTGGCCACATCTCCAGCTAAGAATGTTGGTCTGCAATAAGTAAAAGTTGCCTCAGTGTGTCATTGCAATGTAGAACAAAAAATATATAAATAACACTTTTTTATATTCTTTTCTCTCCACAATGTCCATTGACAGAGTTTCACCTTGCTCGCACACACTCACTCCCAACTACCCGCTCTAATCGATGATTTTCATCTAATTTTCATTCGAAGGAAAACAAAAAAAACTAACAGCAAAAATATGTTGAGTCTTTTCTTACGGCGAAAAACTTTCACTTCACTTTTCCTGTTTAACGCAGCCAGTCTTGAGCCGGCTATAATTCTTATTTTTGCAAGTTCGGCGACAATGAGATGCGTCTGCTGGCCCACTCTTCTAGGAATGCAAGTAGCTAGGACTGATAAGAGCGTTAGGAAAGCCGGCTGGTGGTTGTTGTCTTCGCCATTGCCGGCAATGGCCAATGTTAATTTTGCACGCAAAAAAGACAGTGTTAGGACTTGTAAAATGTTAAGTTATTGTGATTTAACACAGCGTGCTTGCTTGGCTCTCGATGGAAAATGAACAAATTTAAAAGATATTAAATCTTGACAAGCTATAATTAATTTCGATATTTCTATCCTTAACTTTTCCTGCAATGGTGTCATGTGGTGCTTCGCGGTGTTTTCTGCGTTGGGGGTAAGCAAACTACTGCGGAAGCCTAAATAAATGTTAGCATTTCTATTATTTTATTTATAGGATGGAAAATTTTAAGAGAGCCAAGGAAAATTTTACTCATGAACTATTTTAAGAAAAATAAAAACTTTTCATTTAGAAGGAAAAATTGAAAACTGCATTTTCCATCTCCAACTTCTAGAAGAACATCAATAGTGGTCTTCTGTGAGAAGATCTGTTATTCAGAGACTTTCAAGATCTGATATAACGATTAATTTGAAGAGATCCAGAGATCTTCAGCCAGAAGATCTAGGGCACTGATGCAAATATTATCATTTGCAAAGTTAGAGAAAAATCGAATTATACTTTCTCTTTCTGTGCAGTAAGAAAATTTCGACCTTTTATGGGGAGTTACTAGAAAGAGTGGACCGATATTGTCCATCTCCGAACTCAGTCTAAGTTTGTTAATAATATTACAATGCACCAAGTTTTGACTAAATCCATAAGCAGATCTAAATGTCTTTCTCAAGACATTATAAATGTTTTCAAACAGGAGACTACATTTGAAATGATCTAGATAGGCTAATAAGATTTTTAGATACTCTAATGATACGATCTTAATCTTCTTTTTTATGAAAATATGTATATGTTCTATAAGAAGGTGTAATAATCTTCTCTAGGAAGATATAGAGATCGTCTAGAAAAAAATCTGGTTCATTTGTAGAGAAAGGTTACAGATCTTTTATGAAAATGATTTTATGATCTTCAATTAGCAGATCTAATAAACTCCTGCAAACATATCGAAATGTCTACTATGATCAGGCTACATAGCTTATCTGATAATATCATAAGACCTTCTACCAGCAGAACCAGAGATTTTCCGTAAGAAGATTTAAATTTTTGAAGGCTAACGAGATATTTTGTAGAAAGAATTTTTTTATTAATTTTTTTTAATATAAGCCGATCAGTATGTCGTCCGTTAGAAGGTTAAGAGCCTTTTCCTGAGAAGATATAGAAATCTAGCTCTACTGCTGCCATTTCTAAGCCACTCATCCGACAGCTGTTAAAATTATTCCAGTGCCAGCTCATTATTTGTTTACAAGCGTACAAAAGCATTTTTGGTGAGAATTTTCCAGGAAAAAAAGTTATTCGCTATAGAATTCAAGCGTGATAGTGTGATTTCTTTATATTTGGCTGGAAAACCACAAGTGGCTATCGTTAGAGCACTCCAGCATTTAAATGTGAACAAATCTTTTGCGTATCATCGCTCGTTACAGTGATACTGGTAGCGTAGACCGACGTCAAGCAAGTGGACGGAAGATGGATAGGGCCGCCATAACAGCCGATGGTCGCTCTTTGCTCGTATTAATCGACCGTGGCATCGGAATAAATGCCGAATATTATGGCGAAAATATTCTGAAGGGTGTATTAAAGCCTTGAACCCACAAACATTTTGGCCGCAGACCGTGGACATTCTAATAGGACTCAGAACTCAGCACCATCGCACTCAGCACGCGCCGCCCAAGAACGGTTAGAAAATGAGCTTTCCCGTTTCATTTCTACCGCACAATGGCCACCAAAATATCCCAATACCAATCCGTTGGACTATTATGTCTGGTGTATTTTGGAAAACTAGGTTGCCACTAAAAATACCAAAGTGTCGATCACCTCAAAAAAGCGCTTCGCCGGGAATGGGTCAAAATACTGCAGAGCAACATTCGAGCAGCGAGTGACGGTTTAATTGGCCGTTTGAAGGCCATAATTCGTGCCAATTCGAACAAATCTAAACTTGTTTTAAAATTTGATTATATTAAATTAAGTAAAAAGCTGTAAGTTCGGCCAGGCCGAACTTTGAATACCCTCCACCATTGGGACAAATTTAGCAATTTTCAAAAAATTAAAACCCATTAAAAATTCTGTTAAAATCTTAAAAATACCGAATGTAACCGTATATATGACGACGTGGACCTGAATACGCAACTTTTGTCATAAGCCTGCA